ATTATGAGAGAAGTGAATTAAGGCCCCAAAAAGGAAGGAGAGTTATGGGAGATGAGAGGGAATTTACAAGAGAAAATAGTCAGAAAAAAACAAACAAGCAAGAAAATTATAATGAGACAACGCAAAAAGGAGAAGCAACCTAGCAATGTTAATGGCAAAGGAAAAAATACGTAAGAAAGAAAAAGTAATGAAAATAGTAGGAAGCAAAAAAAACCAAAAAATGTTGACCTGGAAGGCAGCAACATATTAGTAACAAGAATAACAAAGGCAAAGCAAAATGAAGAATGCAATAGAAGAAAATGAAAGGAACAAAGACAAAGCAAAAGCATACTTTAAAAAAAAGGAACATTAACGCAAAACATTAAATTAAGCAACAGTTTCTACCTCTGTACCCAGTCACTCAAAAAACACAGCTTCACAAACTCAAAAAAAGGGGCAAGAATGGGAATTTGAATTGAATTAATTAAAAAAAACCTTGTTACAGGGGATGGGTGGTCCTCCAGAAGGTCCTCTTGAATGTCCTCTTGAAGGCGGCGAGATCTCTCGAACTGAGAAAATGAATGAAAATAATAATAAGGGGAAAAGATAATTAATAGGGAAGAATGCGAAGACATTGGGGGATTCTGCTGACCGTGGTGAGTGCTTCATGAAACGGGGGGTTCCTATGGATGAGATCTCCCTTCTAAATGGACGAAAGAAGACATGAGAGCATTAGTTCAAAAATTCAAGGGTCAATAATTTCAGGGTAAAAACTGCAGGGAAGGAAGGAAATTAGAATGGTTAGGGGAAAAGGACACGATAAAAAAATGAGGACATATCACAATAAATGTAAGACAACAACACTTTCAAATAAATATGTAAAACATACAAGCACGGAAAAAAAGGGAGGGTCACAAACACAACATAAACACATACATAAAAAATGAAAATTGCACAAAACATATTAAACTAACATCGGGTTTCAGCCTCGATCCCAGTCATTTAAAATTTAAATCAAAAAAGCAAATGAAGGCAATATAAAAAAAGTGAAATTAAATAATTAAAATAACTTATTCCTGGAGCTAGGGGCAGTCCGGCGAAGATGGTGGTCCTCTTGAAGCCGGCGAGATCTCTCGAACTAAGAAAAGAAAAAATAATAAAATGAAAGGGGGAAATAATGACAAGGAAAATTGGAAGAGAGTCAAGATATTGAAGGAATTCCATTAACCTGGTGGATGCTTGATGAATCTTGGAGATCCTAGGGATGAAAGCGCCCTTCTAAAAGGATGTAAGAAGACATGAAAGCATTAGTTCAAAATGTCAAAGGTAAAATAAATTAAGGGGAAAGCACTGTGAGGGAAAAAGTAAATTAGAATGGCTGAAAACATGAAACAAGCACGTACACACACAATTCTGGGACAGAGGCAGAAACCGGTTTTCAAACATTAAATTACATGAAACTTAAATTACACTTTTAAATTAACTTTCATGGAATCACAAACTCAAGAAAAGGAAAGAATGGAATATGAAAATTAATTTAAAAACCTTGCTGCTGGAGAAAGGAGGAGTGTGGCGAAGATGGGTGGTCCTCTTGATGGTCCTCTTGAAAGCGGCGAGATCTCTCGAACTAAGAAAAAAAAATAATAACATGAGGGGGGAAATAATGACAAACAAAATTGGAAGAGAGTGAGGTCATAAAAAGAGTCTGCCGAACCTGGTGGAGTGCTTGACGAAACGTGGAGATCCTGTGGTTGAAATCCCCCTTCTAAATGGATGAAAATAGACATGAAGATATTAGTTTAAAATGTCAAATGTTAAATATTTAACGGGAAATCACTGCAAGGAAAGAAGTAAATTAGAAGGGCTAGGGGAAAAAGTCATGATTAATGGCTGAAAACATGAAATAATCATGCACACACAAAATTCTGGGACCGAGGCTGAAACCGGACGATTTAAAATACACCAAATTAAACGAAAAATGACATAAAGCACAGAAAACGCAATAACAATGACAAATGAAGGGAATGCAATTGAAATACAAACAGAAAACGACAAAAACGCGAACGAAAGACTGAAACGAGGCTGAAACCGGACGTTTAACCTAAAGCCAGCTGAAAGAGCTGTCTCATGACCGGTGCACCGATCATGAGGCAGGCCGACAGCTGACTGAGGAAGCNTAACCTAAAGCCAGCTGAAAGAGCTGTCTCATGACCGGTGCACCGATCATGAGGCAGGCCGACAGCCGACTGAGGAAGCGAGGGAGGGAATTCGCCTGGGGCGGGCGAGGGCCAACGCGGTTGCGCGCGCGTGCCCTCGCCCCCGCCCTCGCCCCGACGCCGATTCCCTCGCCCCGAGTCCGGTTCCCTCGCCCCGCTTCCTGCCGACCTTGGAACCGGCAAGGGCACGGGGCCATCCCGTCTCGTCGCAGGCCAGACAGGCTTGACGACAGGGGATTTTCGAGGCGACCGTTGCAATTGCCCGAAGGAGCGACAAGCATCATGACAAGGACCTGGCACTTCCGGGCCGCGTCCCCCTTATCAGATTCCGGAATGGGGTGGAAAGGCGCGGGAAAATCAACATTTTGGAAAAAGACATTTCCCCGAACCGAGAATGCTTTTGGCACGATCTACGACATCACACCGAAAGCGAATTCGTTAAAAGAGACGAAATTAAAAGTCTTCCACGATGAGGGAAACCGGCGACCAAAAAAAAGGAAATGGAAAACGTGAACCCTCCTCGAAGAAATGATCATTTCGCTAGGAACGAAAAAACTTTTCTCGCGGACCCCTGCCACAAAGCGACGGGCGAAGTCTCCGCGAATCGTTCCCGCGGGAATCCCGCTGGAGGCCGCCTTCGTTTTTCGCATCGATTCCGACGCGCATTCGACCGATGCAGATGCCACCGGTTCCCGACCTCCTGCCTCCTCCCGTCTCCACAGGTGACGGATCCGTGGACGACGGATGAGGTGCGATTGCATCCGGTGACGAAACGGCCGTCGATCATATCGGCAATATTTCCTCTCGACCCCGAGAGGCTTCCTTCATCGTTTTCGCGAATCCTCTTGGATCTCGATGAAGACGTTTGACGGATGAGGTGCGATTGCATCCGGTGACGAAACGGCCGTCGATCATATCGGCAATATTTCCTCTCGACCCCGAGAGGCTTCCTTCATCGTTTTCGCGAATCCTCATGGATCTCGATGAAGACGTTCTCATCGGCCGGTATCACCCGGATCTCGTCTGACCGCGCCGCCGGATGCATCCGGGATTTCCAATTCCTTCCCCGGTCCCGTCTTCGGAGGAAACGTCACGTACCGACTTAACAGTATCGGGGACGCGTACCGACCGCACGCGCGAGGTGGATCGCGGGTGGCGATTCGTTCGCCATCTCGCGTCCGGATCCGGAAACCCTCTTTGCTCGAACGTCACGCCAGATGTCTCGCCCGGTGCATCTTCCCGTCGCCTCGACTGTGCATCGGATACTTGGTACTTTCTTACAGAAATATATCGTTTATGTATGAGAGGAGGAGAGGGGGGGGGGAGGGGCAGTCCACCTTCAGGTGAGGGTGAACACGATCATCAGGATTCTTGAAACACGCGCCTCACCGGCTGAGCAGAATTTGCGTCTGACGAATGCGTGCAGGCATCCAAGTCCTCTCAGACTCACCGAGAGGAGAAGCAAATAAATATTCCTGAGGTATATCCGTTGGCACGACGCAACACGAGAGGAAATGGAATCCGCCTTTCTCTCCTTGTTATTATTGTAGAAAATTGCAGGAGCGTCTGGCCTCAGAACGTGAATTTTCCTCTCTCTCGAGATGCCGATTCCGAGAAGAAAGAACTTCGTCGGATCGGAAATTCGTCTCCCTCCGTGCTAAAAGGCATTCGTGTCCAGTGTTGGGCGGTAACGAAGTAAAAGTAACGCGTTACAGTAACTAATTACTTTTTTCAGTAACTTTTAAGGTAACGAGTTACTTTTCGGGGGAGGGTAACAGAACTGGTAACTAGTTCCTTTTTCATGGCAAAAGTATACGGCGTTACTGTAACGCGTTCCTTTTCTTGGTGATTTACTAAATTTGCTGAAAACAGCCAGCGCTTCATGGCCACATGCATCCTAATTGATGCAATATTGGGAGGAAAGATGGAGACATGAAATGGCCTTGAGAAAACATGGTTTATTCAGTGCAGGCTTCTTGGCCGTACTTGCAAAAATATTTCGATGTGCAGGTCAGAAACGAATTCGAGAGTTCCATCGATGCAGAGACGTATTTTACAGGGGGTAGCTGCCCCCAGGCGCCTCTGGGACAGCCTATCCCCACTTTAGAGCCAATACTTTTCTCTCCCGATATCTCTCGGGTGGGGTTTGGCTCTATTGCCCTGGCCCCCCACCCCGATCCTTCAGCCAAAATACGCCACCGCATCGATGGAAACTTTTGTGTGAACTGCTCTATGTTTACTGATGGCCAAGGTACTTTCCGTTGCACGAAATTCAGCATTTAACTTGAGAAAGCATGTCTAGATAGTTCCATCGTGTCCTGACTCCATACAGACAACCTTTGGTCTAACGTTAGATCTGAATGATAGACGTTGCTTTGGTTCTGATAGTGGATCTGCACAGAAACTTTTCGTATGCTTATCGTTGGCACTTCCCTCCTCAATTTTGTCCAATCCCCTTTAGGCTCGGCGGGCGAGTATACCATACCTGCCTCTTCATATTTCAAGTGCCCCGTTTTAGCACTCTCCCAACAATCCATCATTAGTTAGACTCTGTTAATACTCAGGCCTAGCACTTGCACTTCAAAGTGGAGAGCCTAACTTAATGAACAGTGATTTGCAGTGAATATGTACCACTTTTAACATGAACACCTCAGACCCAATTCCCCATATTTCATGGTTGGAACAACCTCATCTCCATGATTGCGCCATAAAAATACCATTACATTGTAAATATTAGTGAAAATTATTTTTCAATCACTGTTTAAGTTGGATTTAAGCAGTCCATGTCTGGTTAAGGGGAAAACAAGAAAACATGACTTTGGTTTGTTCTATTTTTCTATCTGGTACTCGTGATAAGAGGCAGGCTGGGGTAGGTCTCCCCATCACCAATGGCTAAATTGGCTTTTTTTTTTAACTAAAGGGTGCATTCTGTCCATCAGTACATAATTCCTGTTAAGTAGCCCATGGAAAGGGAAGAGGCACAGGGAAAAGAGTGAGCATGAGTATTTATCCAGTTAAGTGAAAATTGAATTATGATCATTCATAATTCAATTTTCATGAAATCAGGGGTAACTTTCGCTTTCAGTCCACGCATCCAACTTCTGTCGAAGAAGTGAAGAAGCTGTAGAAAGATCGGAATTTTTGTTCAGGAAAAGTAACTTGAAAAGTAACTTCTACTTGTAACTAGTTACTTTTGGTGAGAAGTAATTCTACTGGTAACTAATTACTTTTTGGATGAAATACTTGTAATTGGAACTAGTTGTCACAAGTAACGCGCCCAACACTGCTGGTAGATAGGATTTATGAATATCCATGCAGTTAGGAGCATTCGACGCACGTAATGTGCACGCTCTTACTTGTAATCTCGTTTTCCAGGGAAGACCATTCCGATTCCATGTTAGCCTCTTCCCGATTTACTCATTTCTGTCTGGCTTTCCCACTGGGTCCGATGACGTTTACCCTCTGGGCAATGCCAACTTTTTTCCTTTTTTTTTAAGGGGGCAAGGTGTGACGATCGTGCTCAAGTGTGACTCTCGGAAGATTGCAGTGACGCTGTCGATGCAAACTATACGGATCCTTAGCTGTGAATAGAATAATCTTCATATTCTTGGGCAGGGAAAGGCCAAAGCATGACGTGGTAACACTCGAGTCTTCACGATCCACGAAAGCACAACAAGTAAAATCCCCAGCTCATACTCTCGTGTAACAAATATGCAACCAAAAAAGCATGAGTAACGTGGACGCCGAAATGAGACTTGCAACTTCGCCGAATCGACTTCATACCTGGCATGATTAGGCACACGAGAACGGCGAAGGGTGACACGTGAAGAGACGACTCGGTGAAAGGAAGAACCCTTGATATGGTACTCCTTCACACGGCAACCACGATCGAGACGAAGATAAAAACCGAAGAGGGGAAAAAAAGAGACAATGTTGGGAATTAAGACGACGTTTCCCGAACTAGTTCACTCGGAGGAACCGACCGAGGGAAAGCGCCGACGGAAGTTCCTCCGCACAACTGCCTCACGGATTGCCTTCTCACGAACTGCCTCCTCACCAGCGAGAGCAGCTCGTCTGTATCATGCTCCTAGGTGCGGTATGTGCGTCTCTGCTCATCCTAAGCCTAAGGGGCTGGCTGCGTAGTTTCTTTTTTTTATGTCGTTCAGTGACTGTTCATCATCCTGCAATGATGTTGCTTTTTATGTTTACAAGCGACTGGCCAAACGGAGTAGTAGCGGTAAACTGAACCGGTGCATCTTCCCAACGGGTCGAGATGCATTTAGATAGGAGTCACCCACCGTGGGGTTTTCTTCACAATGGAACGATCGACCTTGGTTTGCGCCGATATCCATTCTCGGAAATGACTTGGCAAAGATTCTGGATTCCTCTTCGGATCCGCTGAGGTTGGAATGCGAGACTTATAAAGGGGGGGGGACCTTTGTTCGACCAAGGGCTAAAAATCGCAAATATGTCCATGTCCATGACGATCGCGAAGAATCGACTTCCCGCTTTCGTAATTGGATAGCGTTTACGAGTCCTTATATGGCAAAGTTCATAAATATTCAGTGAACTTTCGGTAACATCTTGAGATTAGGAATGGGGGGGGGGGGGGCCTCGCCTTTCTTCCAGGCGACCGAACGTACAATTAACCCGTTCTTGACTGATAAGTGAGGTACTCGTTCGCAAGGAGCCCACTTCCTGAGTGTGGGTACGAGTGAAAATTACTTTCAGCGAAGGTCTCGGCATCATGCAGAAAAGATGCGTCGGGGGTAGGGAATGTGCCACGACAGACCTCTCGACCCGACCGTGCTTCCTCCTCGGCAGGGAAAAAGACTGGCGATGGGAGTCGGGATGTTGTGGATGGCGTCGCTCCTCGCATCCTGGGATACGAGCTCCATCGTGGCTCGAGCTCAGAACACGAATACGACCCTCTCGACCGTCATCAATGGATTTCTGTGAGTGCCCAGGTCACCGGTCTTCACTCCTTAATTTCCTTCTTTTAATTTGATCGACCCGATTGCCCGGTGCATCTGCAGCCGTCTGATCAGAGGCCGTATGAAACGTCCGTCCAGAAAGTCCTACTGAACTTGCCCACGGGGGATCTGAATAATTGACGAATTAAGGTTTATAGAACGAATAAAAGCAGTCGCATTTATTCGTATCACCTGCAGGCACAGCAGACGATGGTCACAACTTCCAAGGGCTCATTCATGAGGTTATCATTCCCTCTCCGAATGGCTGGAAGCACGGGCCCATTCTTTTGCTTACCCTGACATGCATGGATTAAGGTTCTCATGCATTTTTAATGCAAATGTGAAAATTTTTTTTCCCCCAGTGGAGCCTTCGCCGTAATCCCGCCAAACATATTGGGTCAAGTCATGAGCTTTCTACCGCTACTTGCTCTTATAGGAGCCCTCAAGTACGCAAGATTCCTATGCGATTATCTCGTTGCATCATAACCTCTAGAAAGTCTTTCATGAGGGAATTGTCAGTAGCCTGCTGCATTAGCATTGCTGAGCATCTCAGGGACATGCTGTTTCAGGGACGGGAAGATGCGAATGAAATTCGACTCTAAGAGAAGAAAATCCAGAGGTCCGAAAAAGTTGCACGTGAACCAACATTTCATTCAACACGTGAAAAAGCCGAAAAAGACGTCACCGCACTTCATCTCTTCTCTTCCCATTCGTCCCATCGGCTACCGTCGACTTGATCATTATGATACGAGAACAGCCGGAATGCCGTTGAGAAAGGAAGAAGCGTCCGAAAAAGAGAAATGTTTTCTCGGACTTCTCTGCTTTCCTTCTCCCTTCTGATAATTTATTTGAATTTAAATTATCTAAAGTCGCCAACGAAATAAGAGACACGAATTCTGTCTTTATTATAATAAACAGTCGAAGTGTAACACAGAACGTAGCACGATTTTGTACACGAATGCCACAGAAGTGCTCCTTTTGTTTCTCGGATGACAAAGGATTACGCCTGAGCACTTGCCTGAACGGGTCCAGGCGTCGCAACGGCTCCCGGAGCCGGAGACTGAGCCGGGGAATTCGCTCCGCTTGCGTTCACATTCTGCTCTGCGTTGAGGCGTGCCTGGGCCTGCTGCCTCGCACGGAATTCCGCCGCACGCAGTTGTTCCATGTGGAATTGTTGCCGCTCCTAAACACATAAAAGAGATCCAATTAGGGCGTTACAGGCGTACAGTATGAACAAATAATTACAGTCCAGTCAGGCCACCCAGCACCGAATACAAAAGAAGATTTCAGAAGCAGATTGTATCTGGTCTAGTGTGCCATTGAATCAAAGTAGCCTATGAGATAGACTTGAAGATATCAAATTCGACTGCACTTGTGCCTAAATTTAAAGATCATACCAATATTATAGCACCACAAAACAGACACTCTCCAAACTGAAGACTGACTAGAGTCGAAAATCCCTTCCCATTTCTAAATATTCATGGCAATGACCACGTAATGATGGTCTCCCTATCACTTTAACGAAACAGCAATAATCCGAATTCATGTTCATCTCAAAAGGAGGGATGCGTAATCAAAGTTTGTCTTGGGCAAATTACGAGCCGTGATTAGAAAGTTAGCCATAAAAAAAAACTAATATTGGTTGCACGATTGCTTCATTGCTCGACGCTACCACCCTTGAACTCGGCACGGCTATTTACCATGTTCTTGAATCCCTCACAGCGCCTTTTCTGGATGCCCTTCACACCACTGTGACCAATGAATTCGGCTGGCCACTCGAGTGCACTGAACGAGGCTCGTTCTTCATGACTAAAAACATACGGGAGCCACAGGTTCTTAAAAGGGGAGTTAACTTTTTTACAACTTGAACTCCAGCTGTGCCATGATGAATGAAAGCAGCCGCTCCCGGAAACTGCGCAGTTAAAGTACCTTCCGTAAGGGAGATACAAGGAGAGAAGGAAAAACTGATGTCACGAGGCCGATGGGAAAATAGAAGTGGGCGCCCGAAGTTTCTTCGCACTTCATCCCAGGCTTTTTTGCGTTCTAGCGACATCTCACTTTTGCACAGCTTTTGTGAGGCGATGTTCGAGTTTGCGAAATCAAGACGTAAACGAGAATGCGACCGTGCAGAAAGTGGGCTTGGCTTAGCATCCACTCCCTCACTTGTGTTTGCAAAGCAATCGATGACGCCATCCCGTTCCCGTCTTCATTCCCGACCTGCGTAACAGATTCCGCAAACTCTGTCAAGTCTCTGTGTCGTGTATCATGACGACACGTCCAAGCGAGCCGAGACGGAGGACGGGAAAGCAACCAGTCTGGAAATGCACGGATCAGTCGCCTACGTTGTGACTGTTTCATTCCTGTCCCCGGAACCGCGAATGCTTTACACATGTTTCGAACGTGATAGGCATGCAAAGATCCTCGCTTAATATTGCCACTCATCTATTCAGTAATCTCTACACGAATGGATGAATCTCATTCCCGCGATGAAAAAGGGACATAGCTATGTCCTGTATCGAAGAATCTGTTTCCGATTGCCTGCACCGTACACAAAGAAATAACTTCTCTCATCATCATTCCGATGTCTCAGATACGTCCACGCGATGAACTGGAAATGGGCAGCATGGCGCGGTTTCCTGCTTTCAAAATAGAGAACGTTGTTTTCTCCAAGAAAACATTCCATTTGAATGATAGAGTGGAGACGTCCACGTCAATTACGAGCCTCGAGAAATATGGCCTTTGAACAATGGGCTTCATAAGATCTCGGAGAGACTGGCTTTCACAGCAGTACGAACGCGCGTTTTCCGTTTCGGCTGCACTTGTCACCAGGAGATATAAGACTGGTGCTCCTGTGGGAAGCGCAATTCTCACAGGAGCACCAGCTTTTCAACCTGTTTCTTCGCCCAATCTAATGAGGTTGCAACGCCGGAAAGTTTGGCAGTGGACGTGCGACTACCGATGCTCGATTTCACTCGTCTCATCCATGAATTATCCATTTTAAAAAATAGTCAACCCCTCAACCCAATTTGTGAAACGAGAGATCCACTCCATTTGATACGCAGACCTGTATTTTTCATGAAGGAGAATGCCTCCTGATGTTAGTCATTCAAGCGGAGTGCAGTCATTGCTTCGAAGGGGAATTTTGCCTCATCACGAGTATTCTCCAGAATTATGTCCCTGTGACTTTTATCTCTTTTTGGTTATGAAGAACGAACTTAATGGAGAACGCAATGACAACTGGATTCAATGCTGCAGTGGTCATGACCCTGAAAGGCACCCACAAAAATGAGCTCCGTGAGAGTCTGAAAAAGATTGCAGATTGCTAAAGTATACACAAATCGAGGGTGATTATTTATATTAATGAAGCAATTGAACGAATCAGGCCTCAGAGGGAAAGCAAAGCTTCACAGACAGCGGATGGGGCAGACCTTTTCTTACTTTCTGCCCCAATCAAAGTGGTGCACTTCAGACAGGGAGTGAACATGGGTAATACCCAATCCATATCAGGTTGCCTGAGTCTATGGACTCATTGGCAACTTAACATGGATTGATAAACTTTGTTGGACAATAGTATGGATGAAGATCCACACTATAGTCCCACACAGGAGGTCTCAGTTATTTCTTGGATTGCGATATTAATTTTAGACCAACTCATAGAAAAACATAAAATAAAACTTGAGAAATTCTGCAAGACAGAAACTTAAAATAACACAAATTACTTAGTGTCATGCAAAAAACTGAATGATATGCTTACTGATGACAAGGACATTCAAATCAAGGCAGAGTACAATTCATATTCATAAGAAACAAATTTGACTCTCATGGTGTGGTGATGCAAGAAGGAACATCAATGAACTGATGGCAGAGTCTGAAAACTGGCCAATGAAGTGCACAAAGAGCCTGACCTGGATGAGTTGCTGTCGATGGATTTCCAGAGTCTCCCTTTCCCGATCCATGATGCTTTCCAGCTCTTCAAAGTGTCTGAGCTTGATCTCAAGTTTCTTCATCTGAGTCTCAACCAGCAAGGCAACCAGGGACTTGATCTTCCGCTCCTCAACTGCTGCTAAGTGTTTTGCTTTCACAGCTGCAGCTCCCAGGGCTGCTGCTGCTGCTGCCTATCAGCAAAACCATGACCTCAAAAGAAAACCAAGCTAAAAAATTAAAAGTGCTCAATAAGGGACTGCACAGTACTTGAAGATTGGCATCCTTTATAATACGATCCTCTTCCGTTTCCTTGGTCTGCTCTACCTCTTCTCCTTCCTTTTCTTCCCCCTCATCTCCTTCCTTCTTTTTCTCATCTTCTGCTGTCTTAGTCTTGGTCTTCTCCTTCTTTTCTTTCTCCTTCTCATCATCCTCCTCACCTTCATCCTCCTCCTCCTCCTCCTTCTCTTCTTCTTTCTTCTCCTCTTCCCCTACTTTTTCCTTCTCTTTCTCTTTTTCTTTGTCTTTCTCTATCTCTTCTGTCTTCTTCTCTTCCTCTTCTTTTGATTCTGCTTCTTCTGGCTCTTCAGTCTTTACTTCCTTTAATCCTTCTTTCTCCTCCTCATCTTTATCTTTATCTTTATCTTTGTCCTTGTCCTTGTCCTTGTCGCTGTCCTGCTCCTTATCTTTATCCTTATCCTTGTCCTTGTCCTTCTCTGATTCCTCTCCCTTCTTCTCTTCTCCATCTTTGTCTTTTCCATCTCCATCCACATCCATCTTGTCTCCACTTTCTTCCTCTTTTTCTGCCTCTACCATAGTACCTGCAATCCCCGTCTGGAAGCCAGATGATTCCTTATAAGTATAGATTTTTTTTTAAAACAAGATTATAACAAGGAAGTACTGTAAAGACTTGCACCTGAGAAAGGCCAACAGCAATGGGGTCAGACTTTCCATCTTTAACTGCTGTTTCCACAGCCTTCAAGTGAGCCTGTACAACTGAGGCTGGGACCTCATCCTGCCAAAAGAAGATTCACATTGAGAAATGTCTTGGCTTTCAAAAACTTCCAAGAATTCCACTGCTAGAACCAATGGATTAAAGAACCAATCCCAAACATCCCAAATCAGGCCTAATGTGTCCCTTTAAACCAGTATCACAACGACATTAAATCCATTGCCTGATTTGCAAACTCAAGTCACTTTATGCTGAATTTGAATCAAGAAAAAGAGAGCAAATACTGGAAGACCTACCTTGATCTTAGCAAACTCAGCCATTGATGCCTTGGCTGCAGCAGATGCAACCCGGGGATCCACAACAGAGGCAAGGAATGCCACTGTGGACATGATGGGGTTCCCAGATTTGCTGAATGGAATGGGCTGATATGCAAGGGGACCCAATGCACCACCTCCTGCAGATACGTCTTCCAAGTATGGATCCTCAATGGGAAGACGGAGGAAGTGGAGGATACATTCGTCTTGGGTGCGGGATCCAACATGCTCGCACACTTTGTTCCAATCATCCTTGTACATCTCCAGAGCTTCAAGGAGCAGCAGTGTCTCCTGTTCAGTCCATTCTCTTGTCAGGCCTGACAATGCCTTGTTCCGGGTGGCTGCTTTACGAGCATATCTGTCAAGACATGAGTACTCACTCTGTCAATAATCAAAGACAATGCTGTGATTCTTGAAACTGAGGAGTTCCTGAGACAGGAGACTCAATAAGTCTATAAATGCACTCTGTACCAAAACCCAGCTAAATCACCTCCATAATCTGTACACTAGTAAATGAGATAAGTTTGAAATGCTTACTGATCCATATGCAATCCAAATTGATCAGCAGTCGGATGTTCACTGGGAGGTTGAGAGGTTTGCAGCTGGGCTTGCTGTGTCCCAGAGGTCTCCTTATTCAGGTCCACTATTGCTTTGGCTGCAGAGGGCTGAATTGTCTTCAGGGGATTCACAGGTTGGATGCCTGATGGGGTGTCAGCCAGAATGTGAAAATGAGATGTTGGTGGAGGGCCCATCCCAGTTGGACGGTTCTCTGCGTCCACCTAGTGTGTACAAACACGATTCTCATGAGGAAAAGCTTAAGGCATCAGCTAAGGCCCCAATGAAAAGTCTTTTATTGATATATTATAGATTACTTCTGTTCCTTGACCTCATGTACTCTTCATGTATACAAAGCATGTGTGCATGCAAAAGTATTCAAGTGGGTGGGCATCAAAAGCAAAGAATGCTCTTCCCCCAACTGTGCAAGACACTGTCAAGCCAGCTACGAAGGTACTATGATTTGTCATAACAGTTTAGCCAATCTTAGCCTGAAAAGTGGAAGCTATAAATACTTCAGCTTGAATGCCCAAACCTCATATAGGCAAGATAAAGAAGCCTTAAAGCTGAAAAGCTCTTTTCCCCCAAAGGAGTCCATGTATTCTTAAAGGACCATTAACTAAAGGAGGTTTTAGTATTTAGGTCTAAGTCTTTGATAACATTTTGTCAAGAAAGATTATCCATCTGAAACTGCTGGCATGGTAAGGAATAGCTGTATGCAATCCAAATGCAGGCCAGGAACACATTCTAAATGACAAGTGAGAGTGAATTCATTGAAAGGTAGTGCTGAGAAACTATTAGAACTGGATAACATAGCAGACCTTACAATGTTATAGCAAACAATTTGCATAAGAGAGTTGATATAAATGTAAATCCTTAAGCAATCAATGAAAAATACAATATTAAATAAGTTCCTAGCAACTCTTGATCCTGAACTGAGCAACAAATGAGAGAGCTGGAAGTTTCAAGTCTTTTGGAAATTCACATGAAATTGGCAAATTATTTCCTCTGGAAATTTGGAACAAATAATGTTTTTGAACCTTGTAATAAGCATTTCTGGTACTATAAAATGAGCTCATGCAAAATTAGCAAGCACATGTTCTTGGCAAATCTGGAGTTCAAAACTTGTATAAATAAATTTTAAAATTGAATAGAAATGAATGAAACTTACCTGATAGTTGATGAGACCCCACTGCTCAAGAAACGCATGGACTCGCATGATGGCACAGACATCGCCAACCAGGTTTCGCCGACATGCTGTCACTGATAAGTATTCAGTTGGGTTCAAGCGGTAGGTATCAATCATAAAGTTTCTGTAAGCCAGGTAGATCTCAGGGGTCTTGCTCTTATTTTTCCCATTGAAAAACTCAGGGACAGCACGTTTCTCAATGGCATGAATTGAGTTGTAGTCAAACCAGGCTGAATAACTGGGAATTATAATGTGATGAGTTTGCTCTGTAACATTCTCTTCATCATCTCCATTCTTTTCTCCTGAACCCTGGAAGAAGTACAAAGAAATAAAAATAGGACTGAAAATAAAGGAGGGACCTTTAAAGTTCTGAATAGGGAAAATAAAAAGCTACCTGTTGATTGATCCTCCCCTGGTTGGAGCTTGAATCTTCATTGGCTAGGTTTTCTTCATCAAGATCCATGTAGGTACCACCCTTCAAGGGTGTCATGTCGCCATCCTTTTTCCCACCTATTTTGCATCCCACATAAACTTCAACAATGAACCAAAAAAAAACACTCTATATGGTTGTAGGAGTGGAATTTTCTTGGTATCATGTTACCATAACTAAGTGGGAATTTTAATGGGAACTCTTTCACTTTTCATGGATGGAATCATACCTGACTTAATAGGTGTGACTTCCTGGATGTTAGGTTCAGGAGTTGGGTCATCCATGTCCCGGGTTGAGTCTTCTGCTTCTTCTTCTCCCTTCACTCGAGGCTTTTTTGTACTCCCTCCTCCCATACCACCAGGTGTCCTTGTGCTGCAGATTCAATGAGATCAAATCTCATTGGCTCACCATCAGCTTAAATAGTCAGAATAAGCAATGAATTGGCTACCTCTTGCGCTTGCCACTTCCAGTGGTCTTTGGAGAAGGAGACCGCTTGCGCTTGCGTTTCTTGTTTTTTTCTGGATCAACATAGGAAGCCAATTCTTCCACTGTCATCTTGAGCTAACAATAAAATCACGAATTATATCTATGCTCCATTCCTTAAATCCCATGGCATCACGCACAGCAGACAACGCACCTTACTAGACTTTTTTTTCCCAGTCTCATCCACCTCATAATCTTCCTCATTCATCCATTCATTGTAGGTTTCCATGTCCAGAATCCAATCTGCCATCACCTGCAAAATCATTCAAATTGCATCAACCTGTATTTGGTTACAGGTTTAAACCATACATATCATTATACTGGAACTCACATGCCATGTCTTGTCAGGCAAGGGAGACTCAGGAATGATTTCAGATGGAAGATCGAGATCGGCATGAAAGGAAGCAAAGGAGATGCAGGAGTCATATGAGTTGGGAAGGAAGTACCAATGAATGAGAAGCTGATCCCCTTTCTTCATGGACACACGGACATAATCATCCTTTGGTGGAGCTGCCATTGGTGTGTGCAGAATGTGAGACGCTTCCTCCTCGGATTCTGTAAATCAGTTATGGGATTAGACAAAAGGCCATACAAATGTCTTGACCTTGAAAATATGTCCATACCAACAACTGTTCCCTGGTGTCGCTTTATGATGTCCTTGAGGCGGGCTTGGATGCTCTTGTCCACGTCGGGACGGATGAAGATTATAGGCATGGTCATGCACTTGTTGGCAATGAGATTCTTCTCTATGGTCATGTACATCTCCACATTGCGATCCATTCGACTTGGAGACTGGAAGTCAAAACGTCGCCATCCTTGTTCACTCTTGAATTTGTAGGCAGTGCCAAGGATGTGGCAGAGAGCTCCACCAGGTTTCATATCGAGGAAGCATTGCATCTGGGGATGAAGATGCATTCACACAATTGAGAATGATCACAATCTAACACATGCATGGGAATGGACACAAACTTGCTCCACACTGCCTGCAGAAAGCAATAATCACTTAATACAACTGTATCAATATACCTGGATCCACACTATTTCAGATGCAATTGAGGTACATTTCAAGCATGGGTGAAACTAGCACTAGCAATGTGCACACTTGAATAACTTTTAATGTATTTGAAAATTTTCATCATGTGCAAGATAGCAAAGCAAAGTATTATCTTAATTTTCTGTTGCTGAAGTCATTCCTTTATTTACATACTTTAAAACTTTTTTGGAAAAAGTCAACCAAATATCAGATATTGGAGCAACCTGTTTATTTTACTAAATGTACCAACAACATTCATAATTTTAACAGCACATTTCAAGAACCAAAGAAATTTAAACATCATTACTTCCTTTATGTTCAATAAAACCAAAGCACTGAATGGATACAACCAACTTACCAGATGCAATTCTATGGGTCACTTGAGTCCCATAGATAGGGGTTTATAGGATGATAGGGGATAAGGACAAAAAATAATCAAAAATCACTCACAGGCAAGCGAGTTAAAGGTGGCTTGCTGACATTCCGACCAAAATTGTCCTCTTGGAATTGAATGAGCTGACAGATGAGGGTTGCCAGGCTCTTGCTGGTAGGTGGATCTGTTTGTACATGCTACATGAAAATAAACACAAGAAGTCAATTTATTTGGATTCAGTTTAGCACATAGCACACAAAATATCAATCTCAAATTCAATATTACATTTCATCATACACCCTATAACTACCAACTGAAAATGTAGGGTACCCTGGGGGATCATATGCATGTAGCAAGAGGCAGGGTGGAAGAATGCAGAGCTGAAGACAGATAAGCAGTGAACAAGTGATGAAGAAAAAAATTTAATTTCCAAATCTTATATTAAAAAAAAAACAATTCTCCATATAAAATATATACAAAAATATTTCTAGATGAAGGAAATATTTTAAAATTCTGAATCACTTTGCATTGGATCAAAAGGTATGCATAGAAAATGGAAGTATCTCCTTTGCCAGCTGAGAGTACTTTACTAGAATACTCCAGGGACTCTGGGTTTATTGTTAAATCCTTTGACCACTGAGTTTAGACTATAACTGCTAGAACCTGGGTAGTCAATAGTTTAGCTCTTATTTTCAGGAGATTCTTTGGGAATGAAGAGATGAAACAATTTGACCTATTTACTATCGTGTCTTCATGAAAATACGAAGATTATTGGACTTTTCAAGTTCATGATGCAACCTACTCAAAAATTTTTGTATCAGAGTCCATTGGACCCAGAATAGTAGTTACAGATTAAGGAGTGCAGCACCTGCCCCAAACTAAGTTTTTGTTGTTGCTTCAGTCCCTTGAGAACATTGTGGCTATTAAGGGTCATACGTGGATTTCTTTATAATCCAAAAAATGTGGCACTACCTACATACCATTTCCAACCCTCATGAGTATATATGGGCATGGTGTCTGGGGGGAAAAGTTGGAAAGGAAGTATAGTCTAGCTTAGCAGACATTGGGTTAATGGTAGGCATAGGGATTAGATGGCTATACTGAAATTGGTGGATTTTGGAAGTCAAAAGTTTTGGTTTCACAAAAGAAATTATCCCTGTTGGAGCATAATTTCAAGATAAGCGAATTGTGGGATTAACTGAGGATATACGAAGACACTGAATATACAGCCAGTTAGAAATGCCCCTCTTGGGCAGTGAGCAATTAGTATTAGACAAGTTGAAGCATTGCTGGTTTGGTTTCACAAGAAAAATACTATTTAAGACTTATGGGAGAGAGATTGAAAGGCAGACTTTACTAGGTAATTTTTGGTTCAGATCATACACCTCATTAATATACATATACAAAATGCTAGGCACTTTTTAAATTCATGGAATTTTCATCACAATAATTACTAATACAGATTATAATAAAGAATTACTAAATATTTAAACTGCATGCTACAAAACAATATCAATGGGTAAACTTTAATTTCAATCCATTGCCAATTACTGGATGAAGTTAGCTATAAAAACCTTGAATATTAACTTCTTAACCAGGGAGTTTTTCTGCCACATGCATGGTATATCTTTAAATTTACACAAAGGCAATCATGGTAAGTAGATGCACATAAAAACTACTACTGAAGGATAGCCTTACCTTCCTGTACAGATCCTGCAATGTGAAAATTTGAATGCCAAAAGGCATTCAAAGTTGAGGGATAAAGATCTCATATAATTGCAACAAAGATTGATAGCTACTCCTTGAGCACATGAGAATGGTTCATAATTGTGCAAAGAGTATTAATTTGTCTACATACTAATAATAATGTAAAACACAATGGAAATGGGTAGGCATCGGTCCAATGGCTCTCCTTTGTGGCACCTCCCACGCAGTGGCTACCACGTAATAACCGAACTAAACAACCTCGCCCGTGTTAATAGTAATGATCATAATTAAATTTGCACGGTTTCCCTTTCTGGGACTAACAATATGTTGCGATATCAAGGTTTGACTAATTTCTCCCTGCTCCCGGTTTAGGCGTAATCTTAACGTCAAGAGGAAAGCTGCGATCCGACAGAGGTATTTTCAAGCTTAATAAGTGGACAAAGCGAAGCAGAAAGTTACATAGGCCCGTGACGTACCTTCTTGCAATTCTTTTGCAGCCATGATTTCACTGCATCGAGGCTTGATAAGAATTCAGAGGATTCCCACAGTTTTGTAACCGGGCCACCGTCCTTCCGAGGGGAGAGCGCCATGTTCTCTGTCTTGCAAGCGTTCTCGCAGTGTTGTGCTACATGGAATCCTCTGTCGTTTCATTTACTTCGATTTCCTACGATGGAAACCGAATAAAAAATTTTTTTAAGTAAAGAAAAATTTTCTCATGCTTGGTTTGTTTGTCGGTTTAGTTGTTAAAACGTGTTCTTCTAAGACTATTGCACGATCATCCAGGAGATTAAGTCAGCAGATCCCCCATCATGTCCGCCTCCTTTCCCGGCATGAGCTCGACGTGATCCACTATTCTTTGGTTAGGTCTTTAACCTTAAAAAACCGATCTGGAAAGAGTTTTCGGATATGGAGGAAGAATTTGTAAAAGCTCCCTGGATTCCTTGTTCTGGTGTACATGCTTTGAAGTTCATCAGTCATGAATCAGGCTATATAGCCATCATCACGGATTTCATCTCTTGCTATGAAGAGAAGTTGAATGCAGAAGAGACACAGCAAAGGTGTCAGGTAGGCTACGATTGGTGGTCCACAGTATTTTTACCATGAGTTCATGCACTTTCCCTATGGAAACTATTGTTTTCTATGGTCCTACCAACACCAGCGAAACTAACGTTTTCTTCAATCTTATATATGAATTGAACTGGTATTGGGTAGATGTAAGATGTCCCTAGAGCCGAAATACTAGTAGTGCAGATACCCTTGCTTTCTTTCGGATTGAATCTGTACCCCCTTCGAAGGATTGCTTCCATCAGTTGCAGATAGTGACATCTTCCATAAGTGTGGTTTCATGGATTATCAGAAGCAGCAGATCCTTTGAAAATAATCCTTTCTCCCTTCTCCACAACTAGGGGTAGTACAAATTCAATCCAAGAATAATGTGTTTGGGCATGAACTAATCACAAGAGGGGAGGGCTAGGACCCCTAAATTTCAAGGTGGACAGGCTTTGGAGCTCTAGCTTAAACCCCCCTCCCCTTTTATGTGTTGCTTGCAAACAACCCATTTTACTCTTTGTGAACATCAGTTATTAACTATTTGGTTGCAGGATAACTAGGTTCCTTGGTTATTGGTTTTGAGTTGTCAATGAACTCTTTATTTCATCTACTAGGAACAAAACCCAAATTTGGAGATAGAGGGGAACCAGATTGTGGAGGAACTAAAGACAAGCCTACATTCCTGTCTGGACTCAAAGATAGGCCTGTTCATCATTGTCTGCAATGGAAATGGAGATCACATTGATGCTAAACTTAGCTCATCAGTTTCTGGACTCCCCTTCTATTGGGAATTTTCTTTCTCATCCTCACCTCCTGAAACTGTGAGTTCTGGTGCTATACAAGAATTTCTCAGTCATGTATTCCTTTCATTCCAGCCTTACACTGTCCCATAGTTAGCGAGACATGTCACTGGCCCGTTGTGCAGCATGATCCACCTGTTGCTTGGTGAACGTCAGCTGCTACTGCAGCAAATCAAGAATCATGAGAGAGTTCTTGAAGAGTATCAGGCATCTGGCTTTCCCCCTCCACACAGTAAGCCCCACATACAAACTTAATGTAACATCAGTTCATTTCTTCAGTCTAGTAATTGCTTTATGCTTCACCATTTATGAACCTAGGTATGCATGGAATTTCACTAATGAGTACAGATGAGCTAGAAATGAAGAGGTCTCAGCTTCCAAGGAGCCTGGAGAGCGTAGATGCCAAGGCGTTATTTGGACAGCTGGAAATAAGAGAGCTGTATAAGAAAGTAACCACATTAGCACAAACAGAGAGGCAAGTTCAGTCTTATGTTTGATCAAACTGTTCATTCAATTTTTTAGCACCAAATAACATTTTCCTTTGCAATGGAAAGCATTTGCAATGATGAGAAGGGAGAAAGAGAAGCTGGAGTCAATGATACTGCAAATCATGAGATTTCTCCAGTCAAGGCCAAAGCAGAGCCACCAGACAAAGTATGTTCCCTTGCAAGTTCACACATTTCTGACAAGTTGGGAAAGCTTTCTGGAACACTTTTTTTTGGTTATTCAGGAGGGGCAGCTGAAGAGGCGCATGGAACTGGAGGAACAGCTTTCTGCAGAACGAGCTGCCAAGGAGAAGCAAAAGCGGTTGAAGAAGTTTAATCTGTGACATGGTTATTTGTGTCAGTTCTTGTCTGTGCTGTGTCTGAGAACTTGAAATGAATGTAAACCTATTCTTAGCAGTCATGGCTCAATGTCTATAATAAAAAACAGACTAAAATTGTGAAAATTGCCCAGTGAAAGAAAGTAATCCAAAATACTGCCGATCATGAACCTGTGGCAATTTGTTTCAAACTTCACCCAGAATGCACCGAACCTACTCATCATGACTTGTATCCTTATGAATGGCCTCAGCACAAAATATCTTCAAGGTCAATTAGTCATAGCATAGACAAGCAAACCTGTAAGGCAGCTATGATAGCTTTCTTCTTTTTTTTCCAATGTGGTGGGTAGGGGAAACTCAGCCTCCTTGGACTAAGAGTTAATTGACAAAATTATCAACTATTACAGACACATTGGCTTTTCTGTAATATTGAGCACAATTCCCAGGAAACTCACTTCAAATCAGATGAGAATTCTGATCAGCCTTCTTGTTGGTCCCAAGACCTTGAAGGGCATGATGAAACTTCCAGGCCATGAATGTGGGAACCTTCAGAACTGATTGAACTGCAGGAAGATGTTTCATCTTCAAGGGCTTATAATAAGCTGTGGAGAATGAATACAGTCATTGATGTTGGAATTTCTGATACCCATGGTAAGGAGAGTAGCCATTGTGTCTAGAGAATTCATTGGTGATGTTGTCAATGAGGTTACTTCCCCTTTCCTCACTGTATTGCTTGAAGAGGTGTTAGAGATGTACAAATGATTGAGTGCCAAGAATCATTTTGAACACTGAAGCGTCTGTATTCAAATGGACTACTGCTGAAACCAGATCCCACAGAAACAAACAGATAAGAAGTGACATGAGACCACTTCATGTGACATAGAACTTAGATTATCTTTTTGAAAAGGTGAACTTGAAGAGTGACTCCAGGCACATTTTAATTATTGGTGATGGCGAATCCATTCAAGTTTTCTAGAAAATGGGTCAAATGACTTGGATCAAACCCAGTTATTGTGGGGTTCCATGCTTATGTTCCTGTCAACTGTGATCGACATGTAATCAAGAAATTACTTTCTGACTGCACTTTTCTCATTTTCACGAGAGAATGACTTCGGGGAACCAGATAGTTTTTTTTTCAACGACACCCATCTTACCACTGCTTTTTGCAGCTGAGATTACTTACTGGCTTCACACACAACGTAGGGACGGAGGGGGGGGGAGGTAAGCCAACTAGTTCGAGATTCGTTCGAGTCACCTCCATTTTGGAGAGATTACTCGAACAATATACAATATACGATCGTCATTGTAATAAGTTTCCCATCATGTGCCATTTTCCACAAAAGCATTTCGACTTTTTCGCAAACCATTTACTTTTCAATCGCACCAAAGGCTACTTCCGTTAGGCAGAGTAAAGTTCTCGCCAACGGTTCTCAGAATATCATTTCAAACTGCACAACATTTTTACCAAAACTCACGAGCAAAACTTGACGTCCATTCGGGTTTTAAAGTTATCGCTCAGTCCAAAATTAACCAAATTTATATAAAATGGGCTTGGGCAAACCGGTTTGCTTTTCCCTCAAGACGTTGCCAGCAGGGTTACCAGGGACACAAAAAGTTATTTATTCCTCTCTCTAGCCGAGGAGCTTCCATAGAATACGGTCCTAAATTCGCTTTTTTGCATCTCAAGTGCCGGGACGGCTGAAATATTTTTTCTCCTCATAAGGCGCGCGAATGAATGAAAGGCATGTCGACGTTGGGTCGTTCGGTCGCGAAGGCAACATGGAAGGCAATACATTTTAAAAGAATCACACGACTCCGTTCTCGAAAACGGGGAAATGCATCCGTCTACAGAGATGCGGTCCGAAGAGACCCCGGTACTCGAACCGGACGATCCGACGTCGGCGACATTTCGCCGCTTCCCCGTCCTGAGATGTCGCTTGAGCGAAAAAGCGGTCACGAAACGGTGAAATTCCCCCGAGAGACCCACGCGATTCGCGTTCAGAGTGACTCCCATCCGAGAAGACGACTCACCTGAGCATATCCCACCCTGACGTGCGTCGAGATTTTCGAGGCGAGGGCAGCCGGACGAAAGCGTCGCGATTCCAAGCGATACTGCAACGCAGAGACCTGACAGGAGAAAAAAGGCTTCGGGGCTCTCCCCCCCCTTCGCAGACGCTCGAGAGACTCGACGGGCCGGGACGAACTGCCGGAGTTTCTCGCTGTCAGTTGGCGCTGCGATGCAGCCCCTGCCGATCCTTCGGGGCCCTTCCGTCCGGATCCAAACGCGTTTCCAGGGTGACCGGCGCTACCCTGCTGAATTTAGTCTCCCTTCGGAGTCAGGGGTTCGAGTGCTGCGGGTTGCCATGAGGTAACGAGGCACAGTCACATCGCCTCCTTTTTTCCTCGGCCCGCATGCGCAACCACCGTCGCTTTTTTTCTTCATATACATACCCTCCAGCTCTTTCTGAATTTTTTAAAAACGGGAAGTCCGGGAGCGTTTTTGTGCTTCTCGTCCAGGTTTTTCGGATTCACCCTGCATTCTTTCGTCCTCGTTTCCTGAACGCATCCGCCGAGCCGACCGTGACGGGACGTGTCTCGTTTGTGGGAACATCTCACCCGATTTGGAAGATCTGTTCGTGTTCGAGAAACGGACTCCCTTTCCCTTTCGATCCATACTTGCTTAACCTATAAGTACTGTGCGGTATGCTTTGCCTGATTAAATAGGTGAATTCACAGAGTTCTACAAATGCTTGGCTACGTAGGTCCCTTTTCAGCAAAAACGACTCAGTCTGAGGGACATAGCCTACCGTATTTAATGCAGTACTTTAAAGGTTAAGGGTTTTATCGATCGCTTTCATCGATGACGGTATAGAAGTCGCTGTAGGACGTCGGGAGCAGAGATTAGCCGGGATTCCCCGCATCGCAAATGATAAACGAAGACCTTGACGACCTCTGCATTCGATGACTTTAACCCTCGACCGCGGTGAGAGATCTTACAAATCCGAAAAATTCCCCAACGGACGTGTGAGCACACTCCTCCAAAATTGTCCTTGACGGTACAATCCAGACTGGAATTTCATTCCTATCGTTTTAGCATCGCTTTTCCGGACTATGGAATAATGAAGAGATCAAAATTTCCTGCAGTACTTCAGAAGGTCACAGAGGACGCATGCGAACGGGTCACACGACCAGGAAATACGTTGAAGCGTGTCCTTGGGAAAGTGACTCGGTTGAAGCAAGAATCCTTTCCCTCTCCTTCTTCAGACCCTAAAAGTCTCTTCCTGGTTATCGTCCTTCCTTTTTCCCGAAGAAATGGTAACGGACGAGGGTTGACCTATAAGTCCTTCATTCGGGAAGCCAGTTTCCTTTTTTGGGCAGGATTTACTGCTCAGAGAATTCACCGTTAGTACGGAAAGTCCTGCTATCGCATTGGCATAGGGATAATTATAGAACCGGATAGGTGAATAAATAATTTTGAAAGCCTTAAATATAATGTAAATTAACGGTTAAAGTGAGAATGTGAGTCTACACCTAAAAAAGAAGATCGAGTCGCAAAAGTGGCTGGTTGGATGCTCGCCGGCTTCGCAAGTGCCTTCCCACTCCTCTCATCTTCGACGAGACGTGGTCCCCTCCTGCAGGTGGATCTCATTTCGCTCTTTCGTTCGGATTTCTTCCGCTTTCCAGATGTTAGGGATTTGCAAGACACGTGTGGAAACGTGCGCGAACCAGCCAATTCTTTCCCCGGAAGACTGAAAGAGAATGAAGGCTTGCCGTGGAGCGAGACGAGGTTCAAGACGCGAGACCTCCCTCGGAAATCCCCAGAGAAAGAGCCTCCATCCCCAATATCCCCAGCCAATCTGTTACTGGTGGGAAACGAGAGAAGCACCATGCTCTTCGTTTCCTCGTGTCCGACCGCCTTCTCCATCTAGATAGGGGTCGGGAACCTGCGACTCGAGCCAAACTTAGCTCACGAGCAAAAAAATTTGGCTCACGGGCTACAGAAGAGGGAAAATGTGTGTGTTTTATATACCAATTTTCCGATTAATTTTTTTTTAAATAAAAATAAAAGTTTTGAAAAATCTTTGGCTCACGAGCACTTGGCTGGATCTTAATTCGGCTCATATGGCCAAAAAAGTTCCCGACCCCTTGAACGCGCACAGCTTTCCGGTAGAAAGCAGGCGAGAATTGCGGAGATCGAACACCTAAAAGAAGTCGGAAGCAAAGCTTTTGGGGTGCGAGAACCAGTCATGAAGACAAAACATCTCTTCGTAGACAGCAAATTGAAGCTTCGGATAACTTCCCCTTGCACACAGCAAATAATGGTGAGTGTAGCGATTGTTGAAAAATGAGCGTGTGTGCACTTGGAGGTGCATGCTCACCCGTATTACGTGTGTTTATCCTCTCTAAGAGACTCGCATGACACTCTCAAGAGTTTGCAGACTCTCCTTACCATCAGGTGGGTGTATACGAGCATCGTCGGGAGATGCATTAGTCCTGTCGCTTGGAAGTCTGGAGTCATGCTCACCCCACTCGACTCACCCACCTTGGTCGTGCTCATCCCATGACCCCCTCGAGCTAATCCTCATCCCAAGGAGTGCTCGGGCTCGACGACAAGCCCGGGACCGGATTAAGGTTTCAGGCGCCCGTTTCCCCTTCGAAAACTATATTCCATTCAAAGATGTGCCCTGATGAGCGACTCACGGTATCATGCGGCACGAAAAGCCGAAATACTGACGCCATCTAAGAAGCTAAAACAAACAAGGAACTGCAAGAACAAGTTCCTATAAAACGAGAAACGAACCGGTCGAAGAAATTCAACGCGTGATTGGTTTTCGTCCGTTCTTGTCTAAGTGCACCTCGAAACTTGGAGTGAAAGTAGGCACGCTTCAAGAAGGCACTTCAAAAAAATTTATACAAACCAAAATTTCTACCATTGAAAAAAGAACTTGGAAGCAACATGAATATTAGCAAAAGAAATGTCTACACGATGTTTGATTCGATCGAAAACCCTTTCCGTGCTACCTGATGGCCTTGCCTTCAGGGCGAGTATCCCGTCCACCCTCGGCTCGAACGACGGTTACATGGCGTTAGGTTGAGGAGAGGCTAGTGAATTTTCGCTGAGCGAAATGAGAAACGAAGCTCCTTCATGCGAACAACCGGAAGCGTGTCTCCGTATCAACACCAGGCTTTCGCCAGCGTTCGTGGGTGTGTCGCTGCTCCGGACTTCACCAAAATTCTTAAGATTCTCTAAGAGTGATATACTTAACGTCTATTTGGTTTTCGAAAACCTTCATCTAGGGCCAGGTTTACTATTAAAAAATGAACCCGAAATTTTACTAATGTGACCAAGAAGCTTAGATAGAAAGGTGATGATCGTCGTCTCTTCTGTAAGTCATGACTGCCAGGTCGTGAGAGTAGATATCTACCGATTCCAACCTGCCAGGGCCTTCCCCACGGGCACTGCTTCCAGGAATCCTTTTCTCCTCCCCGCTCTTATTTTGCCCAGTGGCGTGCCCAAGGGGGTTTAAGGGTCATAACCCTCCCCCCCCCTCTTGGGATATATTTTACAGGTTCATTTCTCAAAAAAATTTTAAATTTAGCCATAAATACAGGGTAGGTTACCAATTTTTCATACGTCAACCCCCCCCCCCCCCCCTATTGAGATTTTCAGGACACGCTACTGATTTTGCCATTACCACCTGTGACGGTACGTTCAAAGGTTCAGCAGTAGACAGGAATAGAGTGGGGGAGTTCGGTGTCCCAAGTTCGCTTTCCTACGTAGTTCTTCGCGACCGCTCGGTCCCCGAGGGCATCACCATCGGATCGCACGACAGGGTTCCACGAGAGATTATGCATACGAAGGTCGTCGAAGGACATCGAAGGTCATCGAAGGTCGTTCAAGCTTCACCCAGGATGCGCAGAAGGACTTTCTCGTAGTCGCCGCTCATGTCCTTACGAATGGCCTCCGCGAGGGAGCGTTCGAACATCGCCTCGTAGCGAACCTTGATGTCCCGCAGGTCCATCTGCGCGGACGAGAAATGGGCAGTCGGGGCTTTTCCGTCGCGGCCGACGCGATTCCGTGGGGACTCACCTCGGATCGGGAGACGAGGATTCGGATCACGATGTTGTCCTTGGTCCCGAGGCCTCCGAGGGCATGCTGGAGTTTCTGGGCGAAGAACGTCGGGACGTCCAGGGCCGATTGCACTGCAAAAACCCATTTCACCGTCATGTACTCCGAACATATATCGTCGAGAACGAGACGCGCCGCTCGACTTATGGATTCGAGATACCGATAGCGAGGAGAGCAGCCTGTGCGTGTCCAGAGAATTCCCTTGAAATGTCATCGGTGAGGTTGCTCCCGGTTTCCTGCACGTATCGCTGGAAGAGGCGTTGGAGATGCGGGAAGGATCGGTTACAGAGAATCACGTTGAAGACAGACTCATCTGTCCCCCATTGGGCCACTCCAGCTGCTATCAGATCCTTCAGACAAACGATAAAAAAAATGGCATGAGACCAGGATACGTCGAGTCGAAGTAGAATGTGCTGATTGGCACAAAGGCCTACATGAATAGATTTCTAACGAAGACTTAAGAAGCTAATCTTTACTTAGACAAATAAATTGTAAACAGGAAATAGCTTCCCGACTCCTCCGTAAGAGATAGCTTTCCTCACTTGCTTAATTGCAGCTCAAGGAGTTAAAATAACTCGGATCTTGATAGAACCAAGCTATTTCCTGCAGTCCTATAAAGATCATATGTAATTCCTTCTTAAATTTAAGAGAAAATAACATGATTCGTGAAGGCGTTACGTATATACAGTTAAAGTAAAAAGATACGTTGCATAACTGCATGAGAGGGAAAGAAGTAATTATCCAAAATGGCTTTCATATACTTTATCTATCATCCGAGAGTCATTCGGATTTACTAAAACAAATGTGAACATAATTAAAATCCAGCAAAAACTGAGATGAATTGGGTGAAAAGAAATCATACTCTTGCGGCAGGAACCGTGAAAATTGTTTCGGGTATGGCAATGTAGGAGCAAAAAAATGGTGTTGGTATTGTGTGCGCTCTACCATGGACATTTCGGTATAGTGTTTATTATTCCTTCTGCCTTAGCCAATACTAAGGCAGAAGGAATCATTTTGGACTCCTTGCTATGCTCCGATGAATGGCCGATGGCCAGCCTCGACAGCCATGCAAGCGGCACATCAGATGCCATACCACGTGATCCAGCGAAACATCCGGCAAAGTCTAAAATCCCATCCAACCCCATTGCAAATATCCCCGAACCATCAGACATGCGAAAAAGAGGCGGAAAGAAAAGGAGACATACGGCGACGTCCTGCTGGACTTGTCCCTCGTTCACCGTCTTGGACTGATCCCTCGAGCCAGCCAAGAGAGAGAGAACGACCTTGCAAAGCGTCCCAGTCAGCTCGCTCTGCACCTTATCCTCCAACGAGTCACCGTACTCTGGCAAAAGAGATTCGTCCCATTCGCAAGTGCAAAAAAATCAACTCGAACATTCATCGGGTCGGATTTCAGAAAGATTTCTCACTTTCTTGATAGGCCTTCTTGATAGCCTTGATCTCGGCCGGAGCTCGAGAGCAGAGAAGCTCGATGACCGCATCCTCGTCCGTCCCTATTCCCTACAGTGTCAATGTTCCTGGCTAGACCGGAGACCAAACAGGTTCGAAGGGAGCTTCAAGGGGGTAGCCTACCTTGAAGGCGTCTTTGAGGCAACTTGCCAAGTACTCGGTCGAGGGCATGAGTAGGGCCACCAGCACGTCCTCGAATCGTCCTCCTGTCTCCTTCTTAATGTCCTCTAACAAATCCTATTCGCAAATTCCATAACGGACGTGTCAGAACTGAAGTTGCGAACGTATATAAATATGCTTGTGGGTTAACCACGCGAACATAAGAGAAAAAAACATAATTGTTATCCTCGACACCATAAAGGGAGGCAAAAGGTTCGTATTTTAGCCCCTAAAATACAAACAGAACGAAAGCTCACCCGTCCGAAGAGGGCCTGGTACTTGCTTCGGATGATCTGACGTTGTTGATTGTTGTGCTCGCAGATGGCATCGATCAACGCCTGTTCGTCGGTGCCGAATCCCTTCATGGCCTCTCGAAGCCTTTGTGCCGCCTGCTGGCCGTCGAAGGACGGCTTCTCCGTCACCGTTCCCTGCATGGGCGAAAACCACAGATGGAAGCCCTCTCTGTAAGGGTATGATGATGCGGGGAACGAACGCGTCCCGAGACGAACCGAATACACAATGAAAGTGTCACGAAGATGCCAGAGTTCACAACAACGGAGAAACGATTATGCATGAACTCACCTGGGACTGTCCCATCATCTGTTCGCTTTGAAATTCAGGAGTTCAGCAGCGGGAGAGAAGAATCCCACGCGATGAAAACAGAACTAGGTCTCGTACCGGGGACGGGATGGGACTAGGAATGAGAATATCGATTCACTTCTGGGCCTTTCTCTCTGGGCACCGTGCCAGTCTCAGCCATATGTCTCCCCTCCTCTCACTTCCAGGAAAAACATGAAATGCCAGGTTCCAGGAGACAGTGAGCGATTTAGCTTAAGTGAAGGCTCTTCTTGTCCTTCCGCCTCTTGTTGTTTCGCCTTGTAACTTGAGTCATTCTCCTTCTTAGGTTTTTTTTTGTTGTTCCTTCATTTTCCACTCTCGCAACCACTCTCTTCAAGCGCTTGTTTTTCTTCTTTCAGAGCCCTAAGTAGTGAATTTGTGAAGCTAATGAACTTGTTGAAAGTTATGACGTTGGATGGCGCTGGGAGGCGCGGGTCGTTTCAACATGGATGCGGCCTGAGCCCTAGGGGAAGGGGGAAGCGTGACTCACTCACGTTCACGCTGATTCAGTTGCCACCTCACAGCCACATTAGGAGTCATCTCAACGTGGAAAATTCGCTTTTATCAGTTGCGTCTGCAGAATTACGCTACAATAGGCTGTGAAAAGGCGGTCTATCCCATTGTGGCGCTTAAACCTCCTGTATCGGTTACGAAATGGCATTGCATGTGCTACGTGCAAAGGCACATAGTGGATTTTTAATTTCTCTCTTTTTTTTTATTTACCCCGACACGTCCAATAGGGCACCCGTGCATTAATTTGGGCTTATCATGTGTCATTGGTGTAGCTTGAATATGAGGAATTGAGGTCAGGTAAGAATTGTTGAAAATTGTTGGAATCAGATTTTAAAATGAGCTCGGGAGATAAGCCAGATAAGCTTGGCTTAGGCCAATAACATAGACACCTGCAGCCTAGGCCTATCTCAGTGCTCTGGAGCTTGTAGGCTCTTATTAGGCATAAGCTTGGGCCAGTAATTCAGAAGTCAACCTGCTAAGGGCCACTAATTTTATTTGTGTTACTACTACTGCATGAGTCTTGAGCTCATATGCTCTGGGTCTGTGAGTAAATTGTAGGCTTTCATGGGCTGTGGGGGACATGGGAAATGGCACACCAACTCATTAGGTCTTAAGATTTTGATTCTCTTTTGAATACTCATAAGAAGATACCTGCTGTGTGGCTGGTATGATGTCAGGCTATTGTACATCTTGTGAACACTATGTACACCCCCCCTTAACATTCAGTCTTATCCTTGTGACCATGTGACCATGGCACAGCCCTTTATTTCCACCAATGTGAACCTTGCCATTTAAGCTGAGGGAATCCTCCACATTCAGACATCTTTTGGGAAAATGGCTTGGAAAAGATATGGTACAAAATTTGCTGACATGGTTTTCTTGATGAACTCAGCAGTGCTTATAAGGAAAAATCAGCAGGGAGCCCTCGTTGGAACCTAAGTAGAGAATTTAAACCCATTTGCTCACTTCTCATTGGCACTGTCTCAGCTGAACCCTTGATTTGAAATGAACATCATGTAATTTTTCAAACATGTTCCCAAACAGCAGAGTGCCCCCAACTGTCACCACAGGTTGCCTGTATATTCCATCTTACAATGGTCAGGAACTAAGGAATGTATTGCACTAGAAAGAACCAGATTGCACAGAAGAGGTCTTACTTCTTCAAGTCTCACTTGGTTTTCTTTTTGCCATCTGATCACCTGCTCATAGCAAATGCACTTATAAGCAGTCATGGATAAGCAATTTCATATTGTCTGGTGGCACCTCTGGACCTGATCTGAATGATCAATTTTGGTTAATTTACTGTCATTAGGGTGATTGACTCTTGCTAAATGGATTAGTGTCTTTCATGTTTCAGGGAGAAGCTTCATCTATGAAAAGGGACATAGGAATGCCCTGAGCTTAAAAAAATGTTACCAGGAATAGGTGTGTTCGGAATGGGAGAACTCTCTTGCATTTTGGTCCCACTTCTCCGGGCCAAAGGCTTCAACATTGAGGCAATATGGGAAAAATCAACTGAAGAGGCTGAGGCAGCAGCCAAGAAACTGGAGATCCCCTTTTCCTCCTCCAATGTGGATGATCTCCTATTGCATAAAGATGTGGACCTTGTGTTGATCACATGTTCCCCAAATGTTCAAGCCCAGATTGCAGTGAAGGCTATGGGAATTGGGAAGCATGTCCTGTGTGATCGACCTGGTGGAATCAACCAGCATGAAGCACTCAAGATGGTCAATGCAGCAATGTACTACCCCTCCCTGATCTCGGTCGTCAACTATGGCCTCCGTTATCTTCCAGCCTGTTCTGTGATGAAAAAACTGATCCATGATGGGTTCTGTGGACAAGTGCAATTGTGTGAAGCTCAGATCAGGTGTGGAAGCCTTCTTCCAACTGAGTACAATTGGAAATGGGACGGTATCATGGGGGGTGGAACGCTGACCCTCCTTGGCAGTCATATCATTGACCTCGTGTCCTACATCACTGACCAAAGACCATGGAGGGTACATGGAATGGTACACAATTACATCAAAGTCCCACATGGAGGGACCAACGGTGTCCATCAAGTCACCAGTGATGACTATTGCACATTTCAGATGGAACTAAGTCAGGGTGTTTGTGTCAACGTCACACTCAGCTCCCGACCAGGTGAATCCTTCTTTCAAGAGATCTCTGTTTATGGGGATGCTGGATCTTTGACCATCAGAGGTGTGAATCTCTTTGGACGCAAGAACCAAACACCAGACAAGGAAGAATTGCTGCACATGGAAAACGTGAATCTAGATCCTCGGAATTCCTTGTGCGATAACCCACGTCCACATATCCTTGGCATGAACAAGTTAATTGGAGCATTGCGAGATGCATTCACCACTAGTCCACAGAAAAAGTCATGGCGGAAGGACCCACTATCATTGGCAGCTACATTTCATGATGGTCAATATGTTCAAGCCACAATTGAAGCAATTAAAAAGAGCAGCAAGGAGCGACGGTGGGTGAGGGTGGATCTGTTGACTGAAGAACCAAACCCTAACCGAGTGCTGAATGAAGCCGTCAGGCGAGGTGCCATATCTCTATAGCATGACATATCCTCCTGTGTACCTTTATTTTTTTCCCCCCTACTTTCTCATCTGTGTTCACATCTACTGTGCATTTCTATTTTACTCATCAAAATGAAGGAAAATCAAATCCATTCCATGAAATCAGCATAATATATATGCATAATGATATCACTCTTTCCTGCTTCTTGCATTGTGTATGTGTGCCTTCTCAATGTTGAAAGTCTTGGCCTTAGACATGATAATTAGCTGAAGAATCAGCCAAACTATGGTCATACTTTTTCATGGATGCAAGAAACTGAAGAACCTTGTTATTGATAGTATCACTTCAGAAAGGAGTCACATATGAAATAAGGGATTGCTTCATTGTGGTCACAAAAAGGTCTTGATGTGAAATTCCCTTTTCTTTGCATTCAATGTTATGAATGAGGTCATATTTTATTTGTGTTAATAGTAGACACAGTTTCTAGCTAACTTCAACGGACCTGGAATTCCTGTAAGGAACTATTTCTTTTGATACCTGATTATTTAGGCTTTCAGATGTTTGAAACTTTGGCTTGAGTGATCTAGAATATTTGTTCTTGATTTCTAGCATGTGATTCCTTAAAAGAATTCACATTCCATGTAGCTACCACTTTCTCCTCAGATGTTAGTTTCCTGTCTCTTCCTGCATTGTGGCAATAACAATCTAAGAATTTCCTCTGTCACTGATTCTTCAGCTCATGTATCTTTTGTCATACAGTTGCCTGTGTTCATTGGAGTCATGTAATATTTATTAGTTTTGTTTGCTCATCATTCAAGTTTAGGGCATTTCTGCCTCAGCCTCTTTTAGGTGCCAACTTCATGCATCGAAACGCAGCGATGTTCATATTCCCTGTTCAGATGTTATCTTTGATTCAACTGTGATTTTTTATTATTAACTTGAGCCGTTATATACCCACTGATTATGTGTGTCTGTGGTAAGTGCTCAAACCACAACCCCAGTGTTGCTTCAGATATATTTTTTATACAGTTGAATTTAAATGAGGAAGTCTCTGCCGTTTGTCAACCATTATGGGATTATGAAATATGGTGTCTTTATATCCTATGAAAATAGGGTATAAAGACATACCCTATTTCAAACTTCTGTTCCGACATCCTTATGACAGATTCCCAACCTATTCCCTCAAGTGTTGTGAATTGTGAATTTATGATTCAATAAAGAGGCATCATCTAAGCGTTGTTGGATTTACTCAGGTAGGGTTGAATTCTAAGCTGCATGAATGGGTCAATTGCACTCATAACTTCTTTTGGTATAGTGTGCTGCAGTTGTGTGCTCAGAAAATCCTAATGGGGGTTGACATGAAAAATTGGTAACCCACCCTATATTTATGACCAAATTAAAAAATCTTTGAGAATCGAACCTGTAAAATGTGTCCCAGGGGGTATAACCCCATAACTCCCCTCCCTTCGTTTGGGCTCGCCACTGGTTTGTTGGCGTGAAGATTACAAGCACATGTTGGTGTTCCTGTCATTAACCGCTTCCCTACCAGCCCATAACATGCATCTCCATTTTGGCAGAGCAGAACAAAGCGGAAGGAAACGTGGACTTTGGTATTTCGTTCTACCATGGTGGCGCAGCCCCATGTCATCCTCTTGCATCCCTTACCCAGTTTATCTGCCATTTTGAATGTATATTATTAAAAGTTATTATTGGAGTGGAAAATCCAGTTTTGAATTACTTTAGATACACCTAGGGAAGCAGGCGAACCAGTAGCAATGAGTTCCAAGATATTGTTCAAAGTGATGCAGCCAGCTATTTAACATGTCCCTATCGATGCATCGACAACCACTGCCATCGGCCGTCGATCCGGCATCATTCTGTATTATCGGTCATCGGCTGGACTTCACCCTGCCGATGTCAGAGTCCCCGTCCCCGCTTCGCCAAAATAAAAGGGAAGACGAGCGCATTGTGAATGCTTCGAGGCGAATTCCTTCGCCTCGTGTCCAAGAAAAGGAACAGGTTCTTTCGGCCTCTTCCATGCAATAAATCCAAATTTTACAAGTCACGATTAAATCTCTCTTGTGTCTGGGACACTGATCTAAAGACGGAATCGGGCATACCATGGACTTCCTGTTTCTTCCTAGAAAAAGCAAGCTTATTGCTTATATATTCAGGCAGGATTCTGGTCCCTTCCCGGTAACTAAAATCGAAACATTATATAATCCGAAATAAATCTCTCCCAGTAGCTGATACCTGCATCGAATCGAATGTTAGCATCGGGCATCGTGACTGACTCCTCCTCTCTTTCCAAGAAAATGTAGACCTCGGACTTAGGATATTCCACTTTCCGACGTACATGATACGTTTCTCGTGTCCCTTTGGCAATGAAAAAAAAAATTTTTTTTTTTACTACAAGTCCTTGATTCAGCCGCTCTCCCCCTCGATTAAAAATAAAGAAACGATATAGAGATTCATCACCATGAATCTCATAAGCTGTCGTGAGAAATTATAACAATAAAGAGGATCGGCCGATAAGTTGTCGACTTTTCCCCCCCATCTACCACAATCGGCACCAGCCGATGTGTACGAGATCGACCATCAGTACAACTCTACACGTAAATATTATTAATTAGATACAAAGTCTAGACAAACCGGAGTGAAAGACATTCTATTTCAAATTATGCATTAGATTTAAAAAGTGCGAGCGGCATCCTGTTCCAGTCATATTCTCTTCGAATTTCGAAATTCTACCAGACGCTTCTGCTTTTTGTCTTTCCAAACCAGCCATCTTTTTCCTTTTTTCCCGTCTGGCTAGGCATTGCGAATCTGAGGACGTTTAGCGCCTGGGCTTCAATATCTAGTAGCTATTCCAAACCGAAGTACAAGATTTCGCTACCGTGTACGTTACGGTTGCCTACATCATGGTACTTTATAGGCCCGAAAGATGTGTCAACGATGGCAATATACGATTCGCTAAAAATATTTTGGCAAAAAATCGCCTCCACGAGGAGGAGAGCAAATTTTCTCTCATCTCTGCAAAGCTCATGCGGATCTTCCTCGAGTGGCTTTTGCACTCATCGGGGATAACTCTCAAACACGGCTATTCATTCGCCATCACTATTCTCTCATGAAAACCTTGTTTATTCGAGTCGGTGCCAGATGCCAGGGCTTCAGCTCGATCGCTTCATAATTCATTCTCTCACCTGTAACTCTCGTCCTCGTGCACTGACAGGATCGATCCCAAGGTCGTTTTAATTTTCCTAGTCGATGATTGTTCGACGGTTTAAGATATTATTTGCAGAGAAGAATGCTAAGGATTCAAAATGTTTTGACTGGTGGTGAAGTGGTTCAGAAACCAAGATGGCTTCTTACTCTTAAATGCCTGACATAAAGAGGCTAAATAAAGAATTCTGCCGACCACATTATTCCAGTAATGTCTATACTTTTCAACCATCTTAACGAATCCTTGGTATGGCCTTGGTATTGGCATGGATCGCGATAGCGAAACGAGGGAAAAGAATCAGTGTCTCATCCCATTGCTCCTGGCTTTTTTTTTTTTGTCGGTCAAAACTCCTTGGTGACTGCCTGGAGATCGATAGAAAGGAAAGATGGACCATTTCAGAGGATATATTTCTCTTCCTATGAAGGCAAACGTGGCATTCCGTCTTGGAAACATCACGGTGTGGCGCACCACTTGGCACCACGAGTTTCGTCCTTGAGAAAGCCATTCACGTAATCTGAAAGGAAGACGAGAAGACGCACGCTCACGCATCTCAACAAATTGCAATATTTTTTTCGGAAGGAACCGCTCACGCACTGGCAGTTTTTACGTAGACTCCCGGGTAATTGACCTGGGCGCAGCCCATCCCCCACGACACGATTCCAATGTCCACGTAGTAGCCCGATGGCGTCTTTTGCATTATCGGTCCTCCGGAATCACCCTTCGCCGGAGATATCCAAATTCACTCATCGAACTGAGTTCCTTTAAAAATCAAACTCTAACACGGCCACTTAGCCAGAATTCGGGGGGTGTGGAGGGGAGATTGAAACTTTTCAATACCATTTCTACTTGTGCAATGGGACCAATCCTGTTGTTTGATATTGTGCATTCAGAAAATCTCGTGGGAGAGAACTCCAAGTAGCACGTAGGTACTACTTGGAGTACTTGGACCACCAGCTAGGATGCCATTATGTGTTCCCGATTTGCCCTTTATACAAGGAGCCCTAACGTGCCCGAAGGATAATCGTGAAGTTGCGCATTACATAACCCATCGCTCTCTCCCTCCGCATCCAACACGGAACCCTGAGGGAGTGAGTGAAATTCGCCAAGTATTGCATAAGAAAGTAGGTTATTTTGACTAATGAGACCCTTACACTATGCCCTCTCTATTCCCGTACACTTCTGTTTCCCCATACTTAACTTCAGCGAGGAGAGGGAACACTTTTGCTGAATCAGGAAGGCAGGTATTTAATTGCATTTGTAGTGTGTAGGGAACTGGGTACCATCTAGTGGGGACTCTTGGTACTGCATCTAGGGAAATCCCAATTACATCACGGGAAGAGAGCTGGAGGCCCTCCACCTACATCAGGTAGCAGGCCTACAACAGTATGTCCCACTGGCTGCCACGTTCCCGCCTCCAGCAGGAATTCGCTACTAACGTGTCTGGGCAGCGTATCGTCCACTACTTTTGTGATACTGGAGGAAGTCCAGGATCAAGTTATTTGAGGCGTCATATATCCGATGATGGCCCGCTGGGTGATCTGCCATTCCAGCCGGCACTTTTCCGCCTCCGACAGAAATCCACCATTATAGTGCCTGGGTCGCTTATGGCTCACTACACTTATGTTACTATGGGAGATGTTCCAGATCTGGCTTCAGCCTGCCAGATCCCAGGCGTATGCAAGTGCGACGGAGAGGCGAATACCTGGCAAGCATCCTTTCCGGGTGCGGAGGCACAGAACATGTTCTTGGTGATGTTTCTCTTGATCTGAGCGGAGACGGGAAGGTAATCATCGAAGCACGCTGCCTCGTCGACCACGGACACTGTCGCCTCCCTCATCGTCAGCACCGCGCCTCCTCCTACGAGGACGGAGGAGGTTCATTCCATCGCTTTACGGCAGGACGCCCAAAGTGGATGTTCGCTTCGCACGTTGCATGTGACCCGCGAGCATCACTTTGGTTACCCTATGCATTGATGGCACGATGGAGAATTCTGGATTACGTTATCTGAACTCCTCGGTTCAAGAATAGCAGGATAGAGAGAGCAAGAGAGAAGCGTGCTCTTTTTTTTTTTGGCCACCAAGGGTAGCTCTCGGCGACTCTTATGAAGCACATTTCATGCCAGATACACATTAAGCAATCGTAAACGACAGACGAAGATTTGGAGACCCTGAGCGGTGGTGCCCCATCCGGCGATCTGGGCGGTGTCGCCCGCTTCGGGAACCGCAGAGGCGGAAAGGCAGATGGGAATGATGTTGGGATGCTCCTTGAAGTTCACGGGATCTTCCAACTTGAGCAGGGCGACGTCGTTGTCCCCGGAGACGGGATTGTAATTTGGGTGGATGATCCCCCGAGAAGGGATCTGGATCGATTGGCTTTCGTCGTCTCGGGAGAGGTCGAGGTCACCCAGGGTCACGAAATACGTCGCATTGGGACTGGCAGAATACAAAGAAAAAGGAGAAAATCTTCTCGCTGCTCGGTCTTAATCGTGATGGAAGCAAAAGCAGACTCGACAGTTGGATGGACTTACGACCCTGCATCTGGCAGTTCTGGCTAACTGAACGACACGTCATATCCACTGTCACCTGCACCTGGCGTCACTAGTCGAAAATTTCCCGGGAAGGCATCGAAGGATGTGGGACCTCGTTCTTGTCCCATTTTTGACTGCGGAAGAAGGCGAACGGTGGACGAGGTCCTGCATCTTTCGACGCCCTCTCGTGACGTCAGGCGGGGGACAAAGGATGGATGATTTTTACCCAAGAGGGTACTCATCGTCCATCGTCAGAGAAGTGGATCTGAACGTATCGAGTCTGAACGTTCGTTTCATCATCTCGTAGGTGAACCTAATCGTTCTCGCCTACGGTATTGGGCATCAGTCGCTATTGGAAGAGTTTCT